ACAACAAGGCTGGCAGGGGAGCAGTTAGGGGCAACCAGCCCGGTAGAGGGGGCAGTTGGGGGTGACCAGGCCAGCAGGGGGGTGCAATAAGAGGCGACCAGGCCGGCAGGGGGCAAAGCAGTTAGGGGCAACCAGGCCAGCAAAGGGGGACAGTTGTGGGTGACAGGCCAGCAGGGGGGGCAGTTGGGGGTAACCTGGCAGCCAGGCAGGTGAGCAATTAGGAGCCAGTGGTCCAGTATTGTGAGAAGGATGTCCAACTGCCGGTTTAAGCCCAATCCCCGGGATCGGGCCTAAACCAGCAGTCAGACATCCCCCGAGGGGTCCCAGATTGGAGAGGGTGCAGGCTGGGCTGAGGGGAACCCCCTTCATGCATGAATTTCGTGCACCGGGCCTCTAATATTTCATAAAAAATTAAAGAATCTTTATGGGCTCTATTCATCGGAAATGTTATGTCATCTTTCTCTACTAAAGATATATATGTGCATTACTTATTTTTTACTTTTCCTATTTAATCCATAATAAATTCACCACTTTCCATATATGTCAATGTAATATTTTGCTTACAATGAGCCACCATCTATAATTCCTATATTTTCCTTTACTGAAATTAGATCCTCACTCACAGAGAATGTTACACTTTATGAAATTATGCAAGTCTAGTAAATCTCATCTTCCTACTCAATGTCTTGAAATAGCTTTGATATTTACATTCTGATGTCAAATGTTTCTTTAACTCCTCCTTAACATTAGATGGGTAGGCTGTTATTTAGAAGCATACATCAAATAGAGGTAGAGACTAATTAAACCAAAAATTTATTTTTTATGTTTATTTATTGACTGGTCTATAAAATTTATTTAATATGCTTGCTCATATTATTCTGGTCCCTAAAATACTATACATCCTAATTTTGGGGGGGACTGCTGTTTAGCAATTTTGTCAAATATATTGAGGTAAAGAGTAATAAAATCAGTATTTAATCTTTGGCTGGTGACCTGTCAGAACTATTTGCCTTCAGGAAAGTGTGATTGAAACAAAACTAACAATCAACTAAACGCCCTAAACTTCCAGTTCCTTAGTATGAAGTAAAAATTTGAGGTAAAAGTAATTAACTCATTTTGAAAGTAGCAATGGATATGACCTCTGTATTTGATCTTCATGGTAAGGTTTCTCTATGGTAGGACTAGCTGTGAAACCAATAATTGGACACAGATTTATTATGCCTTAGAGCTTTATAATTTGAGATCTCAAGACATAAAATTTTGATATGACTGAAACATGGTCACAATTAAGGCCTAGAAGCCATCTTAGTTCAAAAGTGGATACAAATAAACATCTCATAAAACTGAGGTGAGAATGTTACAGAAACCCAAACTATGCTAACACCTCACCTTTAAAATGTCAATATATCTGTTATGAATGCACAAGTAGCTTTAGTGCAGCATGTTATCTAATGGAGCCATCTTTAAAGGACTCTAATTAGAAGTTACAAAAAGCCAGTAACTCTGCTTATGAGGCTCCAGAGGCTCATTTTTAGTTAATCTGTACAAACAAAAACCAACCAAAAAGTTGGCTACTATCTTAAATAAATTTTACACATTATTATCTTAGTTGGGTGGATGACATTCATTCAAAATACATACCTTTAAATTTTAAAAAAGATGATGATGATAAAAATTAATGATATTGTAGCTTGTAACTTAAATAATCTATACTAATAATAGAGGAATATGCAAATTGTCCAGGACACTGTCACAGTAACAGTAATGACCAAACAGCAGGCTGTGTGGGGCAACAAGGCTGGCAGGGGGAGCAGTTGGAGGCAACCAGGCCAGGGGGGTGGGGGGAGTAGTTGGGGGCAACCAGGCCAGCAGGGGTGCAGTTAGGGGCGATCAGGCAGGCAGGCAGGTGAGCAGTTAGGAGCCAGCGGTCCCTGATTGTGAGACTAAACCAGCAGTTGGACATCTCCCGAGGGGTCCCGGATTGGAGAAGGTGCAGGCTGGGCTGAGGGGACCCCTCCCCCTCCCGTGCACAAATTTTGTGCACTGGGCCTCTAGTGATCATATAATGTTTGTTGCATAGAGCTCATCTGACTGGCTGAGATTTATTTTTACTTTTAAGTATGCTGAGCTATTTTTCTATTTTCCTCTCTAGATTAATGTTATAAAATGCATGAAAAATATTTTGCCTTTTATTTTAATTTTTTTCTAATTGAGAAAGAATTCAACAATGCAATTTGAGATATTATGAATTGCATGAAATTAAATATATTTATTGTCTTCTGTTGCTATGTAGTCAATATTTTCAAGAAGTATAAAAGAAGGTAAATAGCTTTAGTGGTGCAGTTCAAAATAAGAGATTTCTAGATAGAATTTCCCACTTAGTGAGTCTATATTTCACTGGAACAAATCCAAGTGCCTGGACTTCAGAGTACAACATCTGGCCATAAGAAGATACTACTAGATAATGTACAATGAATATTTCCTGCATCTTCTGTATGAACATATTACTGTATCTGATACCTCAGTACCTAGCAAAAACAAACAAAACAAAAACAAACAAAAAAAACTGTTTTATTCAGGTTGTTGATATATAAGCATCATTTATGTTCCACTTTCTATACTTTCAGCTACTAAAATTATAACCAAAGTTGTAGAACCAAAAATTAAAGTGATTGAAGGCAGTCTTCAGCCTATTATCAAAACTGAAGGTAAAAATCAATGTTATACATGTTTCCTTTTACTGTGAAAAAAGCCCATATAATAGACTGATTTCTATGAATGTATCTACATTCTTTTTTAAACTAACATGCTAAATATTTCTATACAAATGGCATGCTTGTGTTATTGAAGAATAGGGAATGCAAATTATTTCACAGAGTGGATTGTGCAGTTCTAATACTTTCAGTACATTTGCTTGTTCTGGACTGAGAAAACAGTAGTTTCACATGAACCTAATGGGCTATTGCATTAGCATTAGTACCCAGATATTCACTAAACAAATAAACGCTGAGCATTTTTGCTGCAGTTCGATTCCTTCAGAGAATATACTCTTTTTTTGCAGCTTCATTTCCAATCTCCCCACATGGATCTCTTTTATACTATTACAAAAAACTCTTCCAAAAAGTGCAGGCATTTTTCATCCAACAACTTAAGAGAGTACAGAAGCTGTACGTTGATGAAAACTTAAAATTACAACCATACATAATATATTTTGAAATAGAAGAAGGAATAAATAGCTGGTGTAGTGAGTCAAATCTTAGAATCCTTAGTTCTAACCCTGAACTCATATGTATGAGTTAAACATTTCTCCTGACGTTTCAGACTAGAACATTAAGCACTCACTTTTCTCTTTATACTTACTGTCTATGTTAGCCAGCTTCAATATCTTTGCGCCACCTTTATCTAATGTATTTTAATTATTACTAAGAGTCAGACCTCAATAAAATTTCATTTCTGTGTCTAACCATCTTAATGTGGTGACTTGACAAATGCTTATCTTGGCAGCCATTTATAATTGTCCTGCTCTAAAATGATACTGATATTTCCTTCTCATTGTTTGCACTTTTGAAGATATACTGATGATTATTGAATTCTCACTAAATAAATTAGACTCCAAGATGTTTCTTATTTTAAAAAAGAATACTTAACCAAATTTCAGAATAAAGAATAAATCAATGGAAATTCAATTCAATACATACTTATTGAGCAGTTCTTGTGCTGGTTACTCTCCTAAATGCTGGAAGTAAATATGAAAAAGAAATATTTTTGATGAAAAACCTTGCCTTCATAGAGCTTCACTATAAAGGATATTTCTGAAATATCAGTTTAAGTTCCTTTAAAGAAATGTCGAGTCAGATGATTTATTAACTCATTTCCTATGTTTAAAAACCTTAAGTGTACTTTTCTTTTGAAATATCTATACTTTAAAAATCTGGCCTTATGTTTTGATACTCAGTATCCCTATAGATCAATTATCATGGTGTGAAATATTTATTGTTTAAAATAACTATACTTTTGTTTTCCTCATTTTATTTTGTTCTAGACTATTTAATTCTGGGTAATTGAGAATTTCTGGACAAAGCAAATAAATCCTCTCAAAGATAAGCAAATATAGTTACCCTCAGCTGTTGAAGGTTGTTACAGAATAAGTTAAATGTACTGAACTTTATTTTTCTTCTCCTCTATGAAATAGTCTTGATTAACTAATGTAGTAATCAACTTTCTAACATTCAAAAATATTTTCTACTGAAGCAAAATCATTTTGCAAGTCAAATACAACACATTTAACTTTTGCATTTGAAGGACTGTTTATTACTTAGTAAATTTTTGCATCATTCACATATAGAAGGTAAGTACTCAAATTCTTTTAGCCATAAAGCCTGAAATTTAGTATCTTAAAAGTAGGCATAAATTTGGGATTTTTAAATGTTCAATCTTATGCTCATTGGATTAAAAAGTGTAAGATAGTCAGTAATTAAAATTTAATAAAGAAGTAGTAATAGACAATCTCAGTATGGTAAAATAACACTAGCAATAATTAGAACAACTCAAATTTGTATATACTATATGATTCACAAAATATAGTCACATATTTTATGTGATCATACTTTATAACTACGAATGAATGGATGTATTTACAAATCAATTTAAGCCCTCTTACAGATGAAAGTAATTTTAATGAATAACAAATACTTCCTAATTTGAAAAAAATGGGAATTGTTTAAAACTGAATTCATAAACCCTGAAATCACTTTCATGTTTGAGTAATACCAAATGTTGAAATAAATTTATCGTCCTGGTAAATTTAAAGGACTACTTAACATGATAATTTGTTTCCTAAAACAATGTCTCAGGACCCACAATAACAAAGATGAAAATTGAAGGTGAACCTAAATTCAGACTGATTAAGGAAGGTGAAACAGTAACTGAAATAATCCATGGAGGTGCGTTATGTATGTGTTTCCTAGTGCCTAGTTGGGATCTCTGTGATTATTTTAATCACAGGAATTGGTTTAAATATATTGAACATCTGATGTTTCCTCTTGGTTTTTGTTTTATGTAAATCATGGGAATACTTTTCTCAGTTATGGGTTCTTATTAACCTGTCAAATAAAACATAAATGCCCTTTAATTGATCTAGTTGGAATTAATTTAACCATTAAGCCACCATGTTCAACAAAACTGTCATTATTTCTCTATATGCAGTGATAATTGTGAAATATAATGATGACAATAATTTCAACAAAAGGACATATTGGACTTAGAAGAAAAAATCCCATTGTATTAGACTGACTAGTAAGCCACTGTTAAGATTATCATAGAGTTCTCATTCTAATAATGTAGAACTCTCTGGATTCTCACTAAATACTCATTCCACAGTCAGGAAACAAATATGACATGGAGAGTTAGTTTACTAGATGGCCTTTGCCCTTACCCAAGATTCAGGACACAATTATGAGTTTTCAGACATCTGTTGATCTGAATTTATTTGAGTTGTGTTCCCAAAATTATTGCAGTGGAATCTTGATTCTCAAACTTAATTCATTCCAGAAGGCTGTTCGAGAAACAATTTGTTCAAAAACAGAATCATTTTTTCTGATTAGAAAGAATTAAATTGAATTAATTCATTCTAGACTCCCAAATAATTCCCTGTTGTATCCTTTCTTATATAGAGTACATGTCTAATGTACTATTTATTCTATAAATAAACACTTTTTTTCTTAAATTTATCGAACCACCCTCTACTAGCCTTAAAGGAACCACTTTCAGCACTCATTCCAGGGGTGTCTTTCAGGTCAGTATACAGCATCTTCCCTTTTCCACAAATCATTGCCTCTGAAATGCTAGCACCAGCTAACTGCTTTTTCTTTATACAAATCAACAAAAATATTTCTATCTCTTCAATTGCCTGAGATCATTGTTTCATGAGCACTTTCACACCTTTAGCATCACTTGATGGCCTCTTTATATTTTAAAATTGTGCTAATTGTCCATCTAGCCAGCAACAAAACAACAACAAAAATATTCCCAGCACAATTTCCTGAGATGTTAACAACAGGTTTTGTGGTAAACTGACTCATACTCTCACAGTCTCTCATTTGTTTGTAATTTGAGAGATGTTGTTTGTTTGTTTTTAATATATTTTTATTGATTTCAGAGAGGAAGGGAGAGGGAGAGAAAGAAAGATAGAAACATCAATGATGAGAGAGAATCATTGATCAGCTGCCTCCTGCACGCCCCACACTGGGAATCAAGCTGCATCTTGGGCATATGGCCTGACTGGGAATCAAACCGTGACCTCCCAGTCCATAGGTCGATGCTTAGCCACTGAGCAACACTGGCTGGGTGCTGAGAGATGCTTTTTGTCATGCTGATATATCAGCATTAAAGGTTTGTTAGGTCAAGAACTGAAGTTTTGTTCACAATCAAGACATTTTTCTGTGAACTACTTGGTCAAGAACCAAATTGTTCGAGATGGGAGATGTTGGAGAACTGACTTTTGACTGTATAATTAAATTCCAAATGGTATTGTTTTGAGAAATACATTTACTCATTAAAATGTCTAGCTTTTGACACCATGAGGTGATGAATCAAATGCATTTTTCTACCCCTAATTTCAGAGCCAATTATTAAAAAATACACCAAAATCATTGATGGAGTGCCTGTGGAAATAACTGAAAAAGAGACAAGGGAAGAACGAATCATTACAGGTAATCTTTAATTCCATAGATGTAACTGTTCCTTGGATTATAAAAATCAAGCTACAGTTAATCCTAAAATATCTCTATAAGAATTATTATATCCTGAAAACAACAATCATAAAGAACATATGCACCCCTCTGTTCACAGAAGCATTATTTACAATAGCTAAGATTTGGAAACAGCCCAAGTGGCGTTTAGTAGATTAATGGGTAAAAAAGTTTGGGACATTTACACAATGGAATACTATGCAGCAGTACAAAAGAGGGATCTCTTATCTTTTGGGACAGCATGGAGGGACCAGGATAGAATTATATTAAGCAAAATAAGCCAAACTGAGAAAGACAAATATTACACAATCTCACTTATTTGTAGAATCTAATGAACAAAATAAATTGACCAACAATATAAGACCTGAAGCATAGAGGCATGGGACAGACTAACATACCTTGGTGTGGGGATTAGGGACATGAGAAGAGATAAACCAAAGAACTTATATATACTTACATGAATAGCTCATGGACAGGGGCAATAGGGGGGTGAAGACCTGGAGGGGTGGGTAGAGGCTGGGAGGAGAGAGGTAAATGGGGGGAAAGTGGAAGACATCTGTAATACTATCAATAATAAAAATATATATTAAAAATAATTATTAGAGAAACTGTCATTTTCATGGTGGTTATTGAAGTAACTATTTTTTTGGCAGGGATAATATTATTCTAAATGTATAATCTATGTTTTTCTCTGAGTTGGAAATTTGCAGACAAATCTATAAGAATTTGTTTTTATTATGTGCTTCATACACATTATATAATGTATTAGTATATCCTAGAACCAAAACCATTCCCTCTTTTGGTTTTCCATTAATCTTGAGGTCTACACATATACATACCAGAATATATGCAAGTATGTATAAAACAATTAATAATTTCAGTAAACCTCTGTATCAGTCTCCCACCAATAAATTAGCTTAAAATTCTGAATACAACTATTCTATAAGTATTTGTTTAAATGAGTGATTAGCAACTATGGCCCATGCCGCCTGCTTATATAATAAAGTTTTATTGGAATGTAGTGTTAATTCATTTATATAATGTCCATGAATCCATGAATATTTTCACACTATAGCTACTAAGTTGAATAGTTGCAACACAGGCCATATCACCTACAAAGTTTAAAATGTTTACTATCTGGCCCTTTACAGAGGAAGTTAATCTACCCCTGTATTAGTCCTATTTTTTTATTGTCTTTCCTTTAGGTCCTGAAATAAAATATACTAGGATTACTACTGGTGGTAGAGAAACAGAAGAAACTCTGAAGAAATTGTTGCAAGAAGGTCAGCATACTAAAAAAATAAGAATATGACTTTACCTAAGCTGTCTGTAAAGACTAATCTTTGAGGCTTTATATGTGTTTTTTTAATTTTATATCATTTCTTTGTTTTAAGTTCTATACCAACACAAGAGAAAAAAATTCAAACATATAGAATGAAGCTTAAATGACAGTCACATTGATTGTTATGTTACATATTTGTTATATATTGTTCAACAGATTTATAAGGAAACAGGTTTATTGAAAAACAGCACTAAAATCTGAGAAAGAACCAAGTGTTGGTCTGGAATTCATTGTTGGGCAGATGTGTTTATATCAGGTCTCCTGTCTTCTTGCTACATAAACCAATTTCTGTTATAAACATGTACCCTCTCAGAGGTCACCAAAGTCACCAAACTCATTGAAGGTGGTGATGGTCATTTACTTGAAGATGAAGAAATTAAAAGACTGCTTCAGGGAGGTTAGTAAAAAAGAAACAACTAACCCGTTAACAGGTGTGGTGACTGAATTCTTCAACTTTTTAAAGACTGAGCATTCACAATTTTTTTAAAGATGGCATCATGTGTTATCTTAACAGATTAATTTGTTCAATGGTAGTTTAATTAATATCTATAAATTATAACTAGTTTAAGCAGTCTTTAAAAAGTATGGTATAAAGCTTGAGGAGCACTGAATATCTTTTTGCTTTGACACACATAATTATAAGGGTATTTTAAGTATGTGAAAAGGGGAAACTTTTAAAATTGGTAGTTATTTGAACAAACCCAACTTGACATATATTTTATATTTTAAAAAATGTATTCACTGCTCCCACAACAATAATACAAGGCATGTTTATGGAATCTTTAAGCTCATAGATCTAGAAAAAAAAACAATGCATTTAGTAATTTTCTTTCCTAAAACTACATTCTTGGGAATGTGTATCTGTTTCTTCTAACAGTCTGTGTGATAATCTATACCTGGGAATCTAAATTATTTTGCATATAATATTAATCTTAATCTTTAAAGTATGGAATGTTCTCTGTCTGTGGCATTAAAAGGACCTACTTATAAAGGCAAAAGAGAAAAATAAGAATTCAGAATCTTGTGCAAACTCTGAACAGTAATTATTTGAAGAAATAGCAATGTCATAAATATAATGCAGATAATTTTTATTTGAATAAATTAATTTCCATTTTATTTCATTAAAGATAAAATGTTGACAGGTTGTTTTAGAGAAACACGTAATTAAACTATTATAGAAATCAAATATTCTCCTTGAAATATACCATGAATTGAGAACATTTGAGAATGCTTAGCCAAAGTATGGTCCAGATGGTTTTTCCTGCTTAAATTTTTAAAAATTGTATCACTCTACCCAAGAAAATATAAATTATCTTGGGACCATGTATAATTATTGCTTTTTTATTCCTTATTTTAATACAGATAAAAATCTCTTACATAATGTTAAAACTGTTCAGCAATAGTAAAAATAAATATTTTTTATTCAAACAATAATTGAATTTCCCCTCAATAGAAAGATATGTATCTGAAATATGTAAGATTTCCTTTCAGACAGCAGAGGATATGTGACACAGCCAAAGCTCTAAAGAAATCAAAGGTTTCTGTAAGATCTAATACAGAATTCACTCATCCACCTCCAAAATCTTAATAATCTGCAAAGAAAATATATTCATTTGAGTGAAGAGGCAAAGACATTTTGAAGATTAAATTAAATTTTTTTTTTTATTTTTTAGTCCTTGCCACACTAAATAGCATTGTAGAATGGCAGTATTTCCTTTTTCTTTTAATGTATCTTTAGAGAATGAATCAGTTAGTAGCTGTACCTGTGTATATTGCTTTAAATTATTTAAGCTTAAACTTTATGTTAGTATGTTTTCTTCCCTTTAATAAAGTCCCATTAATAAGTCTATTATAAACAATGAATTACATTCTCAAGAATAGCTTTACTCAAGAAAAGAAGATAACCTGCTGCAAGTTAATAATATTCTATTTTTAGTTAATAGACTCTTCCTTAACTCCTGTTTCTGTTCATTGCAGAGGTTGATTCCTTTAGTTTCCACTATATGGTTTTTCTACATATCTATAAAGCATCAGTTTCCACTATTCCACACCATAAATTTTTATTAAAACATTTCCAAGGTTTTTATTTTTATCAGTATAATCAGTATAGCTATTAGTACAATCTGAATATTGATTAGATATGCTAGTTATTTTTCCATTCCTGTAAAATCATTAGGTCATCCCTGAATCACAAGAGTCCTCTTACCTAGATCTTAAGAGACACTGATTTATAAAGAAGCTGGTATTAATAACAATTAGGTCATGCCCAGCCAGTGTGGCTCATTGGTTGAGTACTGACCTATGAACCAGGAGATCACAGTTCGATTTCTGGTCAGAGCACATGCCTGGGTTTGGGGCTCAGTCCCCGTAGAGAGCATGCAGGAGGTAGCCGATCAATGATTCTTTTTCATCATGGATGTTTCTATCTCTCTCTCCCTCTCCCTTCCTCTCTGAAATTAAAAGAAAAAAATAGGTCATGCAAGACTGGCTTTTTTTCTTTGAGAATCTAGATAATTGATCTATATCCAAACTCTGGTCCTTATCTCTAAGCTTGGAGTTTTCTATCTGAATTGTTCATATTGTGGTACATTTTTATGAATTGGGTATCAATCACTGAAGTCATGACTAAGTGGTCCCCTCGGGTACTAATATTATGATTTTTCACTAAAATACATTAGATTCCTTAACTAAAAAAAATGTTCTCACAAAATGCATAAAGTTTTTCATTCTTATCTTAGGCCGAACTGCATTTACCAAAAGTACTAAAGTAATTAAGGAAGAATATCAAACTATGGAGAAAGGAACCAAAAAGGTCATGGAAGGTTTTGACAAATCTGACTATATAACCTGTAAAGATTTATGGCCTTTTTAGACAATAGGGAATCAGGTTGTAGATCTGACTCCCAATCTGGGCTCCAACTCTAACTTAAGTTAGCTGATTTATTTATTTTTTGTCTTGGTTCCTTCTTCTGAAAAGTGGGGCTAGTAATGTTTACCTACATCTAAATGAGTTAATATATGAAAAGTGCTTGGAATAATGTTCAGCACATATGAGCTCCCAGTAATGCTAACTAGTATCAGTATTTTGGTCAATTAACATTAACCTGGTCAATATAGTAATATTTTACACCCTATTTTAAATTTCCAAATTAATACAAATGCAAAAATCTCACAAATAATTGAACTGACATGCTTTGCATGTTTCACAAAACATGTGGTAGAGAAAGGGCCTTTGTTGGTACCATTTTGCTTCTCTAAACATGCCCTGTTACAACTCTCATTCAGTTTGAGATAGCAGAGTTCCCCTGGGAGGAACTCTGATTTTGTGCACTTCATTTACACTTTTTTCTAAAGATGTTTGTTTGCCACGATGAACACTTATTTTGATATTGTCATACCAAAATAGTAATGAATTAGCAAATTAACTAACTGGATGTTCATCAATTGGATGCTATCAAGTAAATAGAAAAAAAATCCAACTGTCAGTGCTAATTTTGAAAAGTAATGTTGTGAATACTTCTCTGATCTTGTTATAAATTGTACAATAACTTATTTGGAAGTTAACAAGTCCATTATAAAAATGGTCTTATTCACTATTTAAAGGTTGGATCCCATTTTTTTTCTTGACAATATTTATAAGACATATTTTGTTATCAAATACTTTTAAAGTTAAGAAATTTATCAATTGGAACATATTCTGTAATTCAGACTTTCCTATCTCACATAAACTTTACCCCACTATCCAATTTAAGGAAGTTTTCCACAGTTCTGTATTTTTATTAGAGCACTAATATGGTGTTAAATCATATACATCATATATTCTGTGGAAAAGAAAGACTTGTTGGAAATCTGCCACATAGAACTAAAATTTGTAAAAAGAAATTTAAAATATTTCTTTTTACTTGGTGTTATATAGCCAAAATTACTGTTGGTGACAGGTTCATGCCTTACCTTTTATGGAATACTAGAGGCCTGATGCATGAAATCCTTGCAAGGGTAGGCCCTTGCAGCCACCCCAACGGCTGCTGCCTCAGCCCCCGCAGCCCCAGCTTCGTCTGGAAAGTCCTCCAGAAGGTCATTCTGCTGTTTGGCCATTCAGGCAATTTGCACATTTTGCTTTTATTATTATATGTTAGAGACTTTATATATGCATATATATTAGAAAAACTTTGACTTAATTATCTGATATAGATTATTTATAAAAATCATGAAGTCAAAATTTGAAGAAAAATGAAGGTAAGCTGAAAAATGAAGTCACTGTAGGAACCTCTTTGATCTCAAATGATCAACAACAAAGTGAAAACAGGAAGTTAGGGATTAGGAAGATGGCGACTTGCAGGAAGGTAGGGAGGGAGAGTGTGAGAGCTCGAAGGAGTGATAGAGGAGTGTGTGGATGTGTGTGGTGTGTATGTGTATGAGCTAGGGACAGTTAGATTCTGCAGGTCTTCCAAGGGGCTGCCAAACCAGGCAGTCTTAGACAGCGGAGCCTCGCTCCCAGTGAAGACACTCCTGGGTGGCCAGTGCGGGTACAGAGACCACGCCATCTTGAGAAACAGAGCTGCTTGAGACTAGGATCCTGGCCTCAGCACCACCCAGTCTGGTCTTAGATGCAAACTAGGACCCTGCAGCCACTGGGGACAGAGACCTGCGACCACAGCTACAGACCCACAGACACCAAGAATCCAGACATCCCTGTGGCAGATTTCTGTGAGTAACAGAGCCCATTGTCCTCCCAGCAGGCTCGCAGGGAGCACCATAGTAACTGACAGACCGGCCCCTCGCACAGCATCTGCAAATGCAGGAATTTGAGCCTGAGAGCTTGCAGACACTGGGAACCTGTTCCCCACAGCACCTCTGCAGGAACTTGAGCCTAGGAGTGCTCAGACACTGGGAATTTGTTCCCCGCAGGGCAATCGGGCAACCAAACCCGAAGCCCATGCAGGGCGGTAGTGCCAACAAACTTTGATTCTGGGCAACCGTTCATTGAAGTCCCCCAAGCTGACCGGGACCCTGAGTCTCCAGGCTGGAGGCAGCACTAAGCACCAGTGACTTGACTCTGTTTCTTATCACCTGCGCCTGGGATCCCTGATCCCCAGTGCATTCACACGAAGAGCCAGTGACTCCAATTCTTGGTGCATGTGCACACAGGGACCCTGATTCTCAGCACGAGGCTGTGCAAAGCAACAGAGACTCTGATACTGGATTCTTGGGGAACTCTGACTCCTGGCACTAAGCTAGGGGCTCCGATCTTCAACGCACGCCAGGGGGGTCTCTGTTTCAGCACGGTGCAGGCGGGGTCCCTGATTCTAGGTGCACACAGGAGGCCACACTGAGTGCTGGTAATGCTGACTCTGAGCAAGCCTGGTTCCCACCAACCCACGACAGTCACACATCTTA